GCTTTCAGAATTAGCAAAGAATCATTCGCAAAAAAATAAATGATGAATCGATGGCCCCTTCTCCGAAAATTGCAAGCCAGTAATTTCTCCTCTGCGTTCTGCCTCATTGAGCTGATGCGAGAGACCTTCAGTACATAAATCAAAGAAAAGGTGATAAGGGGTCACCATGTCTTAACCCTCGACCTGGTCTTATCAAACCTTTAGCTTCACCATTGATTAACACATATATGAAACTGACTGAACACAAAACATAATCCAGTCACGAAACGTTTGGTGAAAACCAAGAGTTTTCAGCAACTCCTCAAGATAGTTCCACTCAATTCTATCATTGGCTTGTGACATGTCAGTTTTTGTTGCCATGTACTCCTTAGAGACTCTGTCATGTGATCTCAGTCCATGAACCAACACATGTGCAATTATGATATTATCAGAGATCAATTTTTCGATATTATCTTATACATGACTGAGCATAAACTGATTGGACGAACATCCACCATTAACGTCGGGTTTGGGATCTTAGGTATTAGGCATATTTGTGTGAAATTCCATTCTTTAGGGAATACATCCGTTTCAAAAAAACCCTCACCTCTCGAATCACATCAGAGCCAATGATCTCCCAATACTTTTGAAAAAACAGTCCATTCATACCATCACTTCCTGGTGCACTGGAAGGTTTGATATCAAAAACTGCAGCTCTGATTTCTTCTTCAGTCACTTCCTTGATTAAACTCTGATTTATTTGATCTGTCACCTTTGGTTCAAAACCAAGGAAAAACCCGTTTGTTTTTGTCCTACCATTTGTCGTAAAGAGCTTTTCAAAATACTCAGTAGCTACTTTTCCAATCTGATCATTTGAGTAAGCAACACCACCTGCATCACCAATAAGCTTCGAGTTATGATTGCGCTGTCTAGATGCTTTCACCGACGCGTGAAAAAAAATTGTGTTATTATCTCCAACCACGAGCCACTTGTCCCTGCTCTTTTGCATCCAGAAATCTTCTTCCTCCTTAATAAAACCCTTTGCAATCTTAAATTTCAATTCATGGATCCGTATAAAATCAGGGGAAATAGAGGAAGTTTCTAGCTCTAGCCAATCTCTGAGTTGCTGAAGCATCACATTTGAGTTTTGGTTATTTTCCCGCTTCCACTTGCTGAGTGATTGCCGAACATCACCAATTCTTCTCAAAGTGGAAGCACTCCCCACCTCACCAGACCTTCTCCAAGACTCATTTATAGTCTCAGCCACTCGCTCTTTTCCCACCATCCTCTTATCAAACCGGAATTCCCCTCTTCTGTTCTCATTCTTGTTAACGAGGTACACCATCACCGGCCTATGATCCGAAACTAGTTTCTCCATAAATTACTGAGACGCTTGGTAAAAAACCCTCCTCCGAACCTAGTTTCTCCATAAATTACTGAGACGCTTGGTAAAAAACCCTCCTCCATTCCTTATTCACGAAGCATCTATCCAATTTGCACTGGATATATTTTTGATATCTATTCCTGGCCCACGTAAAAGCATCGCCCACACCAGTAAGCTCAGCCATATCACAAGCCTTCAACATATCAGCAAACTCCATAAAGGATGCATCATTTAGTTTAGGGCCACCAATCTTCTCCTCATTATTCAAAATGTCATTGAAATCTCCTACCATACACCAAGACTCCATCCTCCCTGCTCCCAGCCTCATCAAACGTTGCCATACCTTCTCTTTTCCTATCTGACTTGGTTCACCATACACGAAAGAGACAAAAAAATTCCGACCACCATACACAATCTCAAAGTCCAGAACATTTTTATCAGCAAACTTCACATCCACGCTTACTTCTTTCTTCCACAATAAAGCCAAACCACCACTCAACCCAATCGGCTCAACCAAAAACACCTTATCATATCCTAAATCTAACTGCAAATCCACTACAATTTTTTTTTTCCGTTTCCATAAGAAAATCTCTGGGAAATATTTTTTATGTATATCCTTTAGACGGGGAATTGTCAAACCGTGAGACCCTCCCAAGCCTTGAAAATTCCAGCTCAGTATGCGCATTACTGATCCGGCTATCCCCCCTTCGGGACCACCTCTGAGTTGGTACGCCTAGCGATTTTTGTAAAGTTCCCTGCAACCTTCTCTGCTCTTCTCTTTGCCACCACATTGTCTGATACATCATCATCAAAGCCTCCACCAGCAGTAGTATCTGCAACTGGTTTAGCCTTAAAGTTGCACATTTTCTTAGGAGGCCTTCTACGAGCCCCTCCCTTGAAACTTGATGTCCCGGAAGAACTAGCATCAGCATAGCCGACACTAAAACCCGTTGAATCACCAAGAGAAATATTCAAAGGTGCCTGTAGATGTTCTTTTCTCTTAAAGTTTAGCTTCTCACAAGGCACTAAACTCAAATTATACGCCTCCTTTTCTCCTCTTATCTCCTCTGTAGATTTCTCCGAATAATCAAATGTCAAGCCTTTCTCCTTGTTCACATCTGAGATAATCAGAGGAGCCGATTCAAGCCTCAAGAATGCTTTCTGCCCACGAGGGTCCTTCTCTAGATCAAGAACCGACTTCCTCACACGTTCTTCACGCACACGTTTTTCCCCTCCTTCTGCTGCAAGAAGATACTTCCTCCTATTTTGTAGCACCTCGGGATTAATCCTCCTTCTTTCTGTGTTCTTATCAAAACCTACTTGCTCTTCAGATAACACACCGAAAAGAGGATCGTTTCTCTGAATACAAAGTTCTTGACAATTCAGCTCTGCCCTAATTTTTTTCCCGAGCTTCAGCTTGATCCCTTCTCGCCTGAATGATCAAAGGACATCTATCTTTGTCATACGTGAGCCTCTGAAAATTGTAGCATCTCTTCTGAATTCTTTCAAAATCATATCGAATGGTAACTGGATCTCCACTAGGTAAGTTGATTACTTTTTCCTTCCTTACAGGCCTCGAAACGTCAAAAAAAAACTCTAACTCGTACGTAATCATGGCTCTGAGCTTTACTTGGGTCAAAAGCAACCGTATCAACCTTCCCTATCAAGTCCCCAAAAGCAGTAATTGCCTCTTCGGTGTAGTGATTTACCTGGATATATTGGATCTGCACCCACACTAGCAAATACTTGAGGTAGTCTTCAGGCGGTTTCTCTACCCATCGATCTATTTTAATGCTCCATTCATTAAAGGTCCACACACGTTTCCTCATCACTTCTTCAAGATCATGTTCGTACTTGAACACAAACTGGAAAGTCGTCTTAGAAAGGGCAATCCCTTTCACTGTATCATACACTTCCCACTTTCTTGGCATGTCTAATATCAGGTCACTAATCTTCTGACTTTCGGGGTCTAAAGTTCTCCCCATGATATTCATCTTGTTCCTCCACAAAGCACTAAACTGAGGCAAGTCCGGTAAGTCGAACGGCACTTCCTCCTCCTCCAGTGACATAGATTCAAAATCCTTGTTAATATTCATAATGAATACGACAAGGTTTGCACTCGCTCCTCCTTGTTCTTCAAAAAATCACTCAAGAAAAACGGCGGATACTGAAAGCCCTAATTTTTAGTGAAAAAAAACACAATATTGTCCTAGATCTTCACCCAAATTTTTGAGATTTTCTGTTTTTGTGTGATGCAAAAGAGGAAAAAACCCACTCGGTAGCCCTACTTTCCTTAACAAGAAAAAATTCTTGAATGAAAAGAGAGAACTTAAGCCCAAAAGAGGGAGTCAAAAGAGGCACTATTACTATAAGAACATGGATTGCACACAACGAGAAAAGTAATATATCTCCATATTTTTATTTTTGTTTATTTGTCATTTAGGGTAAACAAATATTTTGTTAACAATTGGGTAAACAAAATGTTCTTAACATCAAATTGTTATTTTGTTACATAATTAGAGGTGGTTTGAGAAGTTAGACCAGAATAAAATAACCAACACAAAAAAAATTACGATGAAATGATCTAGCAGTTCTAATTAATTAATCGGCAATAGTATTTTGAATCTGAGGAATGAACGAAATCTTGAAGGATCGAAGTCTTCTTCTGAGCGTTGTGAACTCTTTCCAGTCTATTGAAAAATTTGGCCAAGCCTGATGTCCTTCAATGATCGGAAATTTACTTGCAGCCTGATCCAAAATACTGACATATTGAAAATCGTAACATACTTTCCATTTCCTAGATAATTGCTGATCTGTATGCAGCGATGATATTCATCTCTCTTTTTTTTGTACCCATAAAATGTCACTGTCATGACGTTTCTTTCAAAACATCCACATCCACTATGAACTAAAGCGCTTCCAGCACTGAGCTGCCAATTCGATTTAAAGCCAAAGGAGTTGCAAATCGAGATGGAGCTCTTAATCAGATGAGATTTGTGATCTCCCGTATGAGATCATATCAAGAGTGACCAGAGAGCTAATCTATATCTACATCAAGGAATCACTTCTGGTACATCCTTTAAATCTAGAAATGATAGTGATGAGCTTGGTTCTATAATAAAGAATAGAGAGACTACCAGAAGTGATTCCTTGATGTAGATACCAACGAGAGAACTCAAACTTTTGCTTCAGAGAACTAGGGTGATGATCGAGAGGATTAAAGAAGAAACATGATCCAATATATTGTCAAAGAACTAGTAGATCAATAAGACGTCAAACCTTAATGGAGATTTTGATTATCACCGATTTTCATCGCTAGAGAGCGTTAAGGTAAACATGGTAGATACTTTAATCTAAATTACCCTACAATCTCCTACAAAAATTTCAAATATTCTCTTCTAATAACTAATTTCGTTTTCATTTTCTTTTAAATCTAAAAGTATGAAAATAACTTCTACACCCTTAATGAATCTACAAAATTACATATCCAATCACACATAAATTAGGTTATCCACTGAAACCCATAAAAATCTGGATCCTGCTAATATTAACTAAGCTAATAATTTTTTTTTATTCTTAAAATATATTGATAAAGAAATTCAGTCCCCTATGGTGACGATCTCTTGAAACGATGATAATGACAATTCTTCAGAAACTCTCATCTAAAATCCTCTACCTCTCTCTATTTGCTAGACCCTTAACCTTCCACACGTCCTCCACATATGTAGTTCCTTCTGCCTTGTTGAGATCCAAGAAAATCGCCAAGCTTTCCACAGTCGATGCAGACAAAGATAAGAAGGATATCATCGGATTATCTGGTTAGATTCTCTTTTGTGCTCTCATACACACTAGTCAAATTTTTCGATGTTGCATCGGTTGGAAGATATCGATGCTTGCTTGGCGGAATGCAAGGTTCAGATCGTAGAAGTTGTGTTAAGGCAGGAGCTCCAAGGAATGGCAAGGACAGGTCCATATCCACCTGAGGCCCATCCAAATTAAAAAAAAATAGGCCTTTTTTCCTTATAATTTTTTTTTTTAAGTTTAAGCCTAAAAAGGCCATAAAAATTTTTGGACCTTAAGCAATGGCTTCCTTTGCCTATGCCCTAGGCCGGGCCTGAGAATGGCCATCCTTTGAATGGGTAGTTTGGTTTTCGTATGTAGATGTCAGTCTATAGTGGGGCATTATGTAAGATCTTCAGGTTGCTGTTAAGCTGGAGAAGCATGCATTCTTCAGTACAGCTAAATGAAACATGGACTTTGGACCTCTGTTTTTAGAAGGCTCTCATTTTAAAAAAAAATTATTGTAAATTTTTGTAGCTATTTTCATATTTATTATTGGGTTAAATAAAAAAAGAATAAAATGTAAATAGATCTACGTTTTGGTACATGTTAGTGCCAAAAAGCTAAGAAAATTAATAAAAAAATTAAAACTAAAACTGATCCACAGTTAGATGGGCCCCCAATTATTTTTTTGTAAAGCCTCTATATTTGCAGGGATCCCCTAGGAAGGATGGCGACTAGGAGAAGCTTCCTCAATAGTTATGGTGTTTGCAGTAAGATCTTTGATTCATGAGACGCTTGATAGGTGAAAGATGGAGGAACAATACTTAGACGTTCTGTGCGACGAAGACTCACGGCGGCCATGATTGATGTTTCTGATAAAGGACATATATTGATACATGTTTCGTATCTCTTCAAATAGCAGCAGGTGGAAGATATTCTAGCCGTTCTTGAGCCCTATTTTAATGAGTCTCTCTGAGCTTTAAGAGAAATGAGCTTTAAGAGAAAATGATTACAATAGCATTAAAAAAAGTTTATCACAAATATAGCACATAAAAATAAAATTGATAATATTTTATCAAAAGAGATATATATACATCTATATACCAATGATAAATTAATATAGACATTAAGGTTCAGGGTTAAGGGTTTAGAATTTAGGATTTTAGGGTTTAAGTTTGGGAGTGAGGTTTTAGGGATAAGATTTCAATTTAAAAAAAAATAAAAAAATTAAAATTTTCAAAAGATAAAATGCTATTTTGGTCATTTTAGTTTTTGAAGGCTATTTTTGTGACATAAACTTAGAAATATGCTATTTTGAAGATTTGTCCATATTTTAAATATATATTACTTTTGTATATGTTAACTATGTGTAATTGTATATCGAGCTTTATCATTGAAATATTGCCGATGAAAAAGGGACAATTCTCTGAAATAACTATAAAATAAATTCTTTTTAACCAAAAAGTCTATAAAGGAAAAAATAACCAAAAAATATTTCATTAGAATTATAAAATATAATTATATGTTTATTTTATAGATATTTAAATATACCTAACTATTTAAACAAAAAATAAAAATAAAAAATAATTTTTAATTATTTTCAAATTATATGTTTTTGAATTCATAATTTTTTTTCATTTTTTTTTCAAACAAATCTATTTCGAAATAAAAAATTTTTGTTGAAACTATTTTTAAAATATTTATTTTAAATTTTTAGTAGTTAGTTATTTATTTTTAAAGTCCTAAATTTCCGCTACAAACTTCATCCCTCAAATCTGAATCCTAAATTTATATTAGTTAATCTTAGATATAAGTGTGTATTTACATCTATTATATAATTTTGTGTTTCTCTCCCTTTCAAGCATGTCACTTCGGATTACACATAGACAAGTCCACGTAGGATAGATTCCAAACGCATCGTATCATTTCTTTTGTGTTTGTATGGGATTTTGTTTCATCAAGCCCATCCCGTGATGTATCAACTTGCTCATGATGAAATGTCACGTTATCTCTTAGGGTTAGCGGAGGTAGTCTTCCCATCTCCAGAACTGAACGACGACCTCGGTTGCGGGGCCGATCTTTCATCTTCTTCCTTACCATACCAGTAACCGATCTATCGTCTTAAAACTCCCCGTTAATCAATCACCCACGATTATATAAGTTTCTGCGATGCAGGTTTCAGTTCCCGTCGTTGTGGCTGATGGTATGGCTGGTGCTGCTATGTATGAGTTAGTGCGTGTTGGTAGTGATAAATTTATTGGAGAGATCATCCGCTTGAAGGAGATTCTGCCACCATCCAAGGTTTGTATCTCTCATATACGTTGGATCTGTAGAAGTGAGATACTTTTAACTGATGTTTTGCAACTTCCAGTTTACGAGGAGACAGCTGGATTGACGGTTAATGATCATGTTCTTCGAACCCAGAAGGTTCGTGACTTCTTTTTTTCTTTGGAGTTGTTTGTCTGTAGCTAACATAAATTTTGTCCTGAATGTTTCAGCGTCTTTTTGTGGAGCTTGGACTAGGAATATTGGGAAACATCTTCGATGTAATTCAGGTGAAGTGTAAAGTTTATGACTTCTATGTTTTGTTATAACATTACTATCTGCAGTAATTGTGGCGTCTCACAATTCTTTTTTTTTTTTTGTATATATCACAGAGGTCTTTGAAGAATATTACGAAAAGATCTGGTGGTGTGTCTGTTCCAGCTCTTAACAAAGATTGTCTTTGGGAGTTCCAGCCTAATGATTTTGGTTTGTCTTTTACTTCATTTACTTGTCTATATGTTAGTGTTAACATGGTCTTAATCCATTTTGAGTTGGTTTCAGTCGAGGTAGAAACAATAACTGGTGGTGACTTGTATGCTGTAAGTTCATTGGCCACCTCCGTAATCTATTTGAATTTTTTTTTTCTGATAGTCAAACATAACTTTCGAACACAGATCGTCTTCGAGAACACTCGGATGACTCACCGCGTTCCCTTCCTCCTGATGCCATGGGGAAGATCACGTACCTTGCTCCATCTGGTCAATATTCCCTTAAGGTTTGAGTTTAACTTTCTCTCAAACGATGTATATATATATATATATGAATAACTCCTCTTTCTTCATTGATTGACATGATCGATTGACTGTATTTTTCCCTTACTAGGATACTGCTAGAGCTTGAATGCTAGGGGGTTGAGAAAACATACACCATGCTTCAGGTTTGAAGCATATGTGATTTTCCTACTCGGCAAACGTTTAGCTACCCATTCAATTTTTAAAATTGATTTGACTGATAATATGTCAGAGCTGGCATGTACGTACGCCTAAGCCAGTCGCATCCAAACTTGCTGTGGATACTCCTCTACTTACGGGGCAGGTGATTCCATCTGATACAGTGGTCATTGTCATTCAAAGACGTATTGGCTGATAGCTTTCTTATTCTCTTTGTTCAGCGTGCTCTAGACATATCAATTTTTTTTAAGAGCTAATGTGTTGTGATTTAAAAAGTATTCCAACTCCGATGCTGTCGTTTACATTGGTTGTGGAGAAAGCGGAAATAAAATGGCTGAGGTATGCCTCTTCTCCTTTTGAATATGCCTATTGGTCACACACATAATAAAAAAATTGGTCTGATGGTTTCTCATAAATTAGGTGCTTATGGACTTCCCACAATTGTAATGACGTTGCCTGATGGTCGTGAGGAATCTGCCATGAAACGTACTAAATTGGTTGCCAACACCTCTAACATGCCTGTGGCTGCTCGTGAAGCTTCAAGCTACACAGGTAATTTTCAGGCATGGAGGTTTAATAGTTTTTAAAGAAGCTCATATCACATCTTCTATTGACATAAAGCACATAGAAACCTTTTTAATTACGACCCTATTTTTTTCTTGGTAATGTGACTCTAGGAATCACCATCACTGAATATTTTAGAGACATGGAATGAATGTTAGTATGATGACAGACACAACTTCTCGTTGGGCAGAAGCATTGATCGAAATTTCAGGAAGGCTGGTAATATCTTACTTCTCAACACAAAAATACATACAACAAAGTGAGAAGCATTCATTTTTTTGGTCATGATTAATACACTTGGGGTCTAAATGGTAACATAAGGAACGAAGGGGAATAACCAATTCCTACTTATTCCTTAAAAAAAACACCATTCATAATGAATATTTCATGCGTATGATTCCTTGTCATTCTTTGAATTCTAAGGAATTATAGAACAAAAATATTCCTTATCAAAATTGATATGGAACCAAAGTAATAAATATTCCTTTTCATTCCTTTTATTTTGTTCCTACTTATTATTTTCCTACTCATTCCTATTCATATTTTAATAGTCACCAGTTAGAGCCTTGGACTTTATAACGTGGCTCTTAAGATCATGGCTGATTCTAAAGCATGTGCGTAATTTTGCCACAACAATTACAATTATTGTTTGAAATATGTAAACCATTTTGTTTACTTATGAAAATAAGAGCTCCGGTGATGATGGTATGTAACCAGACACAAGGTCTATGCAATGGTACGAGAATGATGGTCACTCGACTTGGTAACATGATTCTTGAAGCTGAGATCATGACCGGTACAGAGGTTGGTGAACGAACCTAATCATTTTTCCTCACACGGTTAGCTACAAGATCAAAACAAAAGAAAATGAGCCAAAACAAAACATTTTTGGTGATCTCAGTATATCAACCAAAACAAAATGAATCAGTTTCTATTCTTCGAGTGAAACTTCTATAGTATATTGTTCACTAGGGAGAGCCCGGCGCTATGCGCCGGATTTCGATGATAATATATGTTTCAATGAAATATAAATTAATTTTATGATCTTAAAAATAAAGTATTTTTCTAACATATGAAGATGCATTAATTTTTTTCCACTCCTGCACTATTAGCATTTCATATCAGAGTATTTTGTAACATTTTGTATTATATTTGTCAATTTTGAAATAATTTGTAAAAATTAGATATAGTGCTCCTACATTTTAGAATGAGAGATATGTATATACTTGTAATAATTAGATATATTGGTTCGACATTTCAGAAAGAGAGATATGTATACTGGCTAGATACATCTCATTGATTTTTTGAGGATCCATTCAATCATTAAACGTGGATTGATTTTGTTAAAATATAATAAAAATCTGTGTTGTTCAAAAACTGAGATGATTCACGCTGGTTTTTATGGACCGGATGTCCTTGCGGAAATATTTAGAAATA